AGTAGTAACAGGTGCCACGCTAGTAGTAACAGGTGCCACGCTAGTAGGTTGGAGGTCCTTCTATTTTTGTCCATTGGCCTTGTCGATATACCGACGCCCCGGCCGGTTTCGGTCGTGGACGCGTCGGCGCCGCGGTGGTCGACGCGGCTCGTTGAATTCGCGCAATGGCGGCACTTAGGTCAGGCGTGACCCTGGGGAGAAGTATGGTGAGTTCTATCCCTATTTGTGGCTGGTAACTCCGATCCAAAAGGATGTCAAAGCACACAAGCGAATGATGCAGAAGTTTCCCAATCGCGGCAGTGAGGGTCAAACATCCTGCGCAAAATGATCGATTTTGAGGAGGGCTGGTCTTGTAAAGTCTCCCACTTGCTCCTGTTTTCAAGTCCTCCAATCATCCCATCGACATCAACCCGTCCCATCCTCATCCCAAGTCTTCGTCTTTTTTTTTGGGCTCAGTCAAGTCCATCCCTTATGCACTTCTGCACTGCCCTAGAACAACTTGAAAGCAGGGACAAGCGGGACTGCTTTGTTTAACTTCAGAGTTCTGAGGAGTTTTGGAGAAAGCACCATTCACTTGACGGCCACAAGGGCTAGTCAGAGCCAAAGCTAAATTGAAAAGAAGAGGTATACACTCTGATGCTTTGGCGAAGATGAGAGGAACATGAACCCCCACATAGGCAGCCAGGTTGCGTTGCAGAAAACATCTGCACCAAACGAACGATCCCGCAGGAGCAACGCTGGTCTGCGAACTTCAAAACGTGGAGGGCCCAGTTTGCACTTTTTGCTGAACAGTAACAAGGACGCTACTAGTGGCCAAGGGCATCGCAACTAGGAACAAGGGCCTTACTACTAGGAACAATGTTTGCTAGTAGAAACAATAGAATTAAATGAGAATTGTTAAATGAGAATTTAATTAGAATTAATTTTAGAATTAAATGTTCAATCCGTCTTTTGACCTGTCGACACTGTTGCTGCGGTGTGCCATCTACTTTTACAAGGCTTGCCTCACATCGAGAGAAGCTGGCCAGGGATGCCTCACAGGTGCCGTTGGTTCAGGGTGAGCCAATATGCTGAAGCCGAGCCAAACTCCGCAGTTGTCGTTAGCTAGTTAAGACTGTTCGGATTGATACCCTACTCTTCGGGTGACCCCCGGTTCAAAATGAAACAACACGTAAAGAGTTTTTGCCACGGAGACCTCACAGGGTCCCCTAGTAGCGTCCTTGCTCCTAGTAGCGAGGCCAGGAGCCCCTAGTAGCGTCCTTGTTCCTAGTAGTAAGGCCAGGAGCCCCTGGTAGAATACGGATGCCTTTGGATGCTTTCGCTTGTGAAGGCACATAGATTATACCGAGAAACCGCAGATGAGGCGCTGGCCTCAAGATCTTCAGCTTGTGATGCTTGCGTTTGCCGTGGGGGTTCCTGTGTTTTCAGCCTTCACAGTGAGGTATCCATGAAGGAACTTGAAGAGCAAGATCTCAAGAAGAAACATCAGGACACAGAAGCACACTAGGCCATTGCTAGTAGGTTGGAGGCCATCACTAGTAGGGTGGAGGCCATTGCTATTAGGTTGGAGGTCGTGGCTGCCACCGGGTTCAGGAGATCAGTCAGAAGCAGAAGGAGTTTTGCACCATGTACGAGGCCTTTGAATTTATTTGGGATGTATTTTTTTGGCCAGTCCTGCTTGTAGAAAATCTTGAAGGATCTTGAAGGTGTTTCCAACTCTTTGTTGTCTTTGCTAAAGTGTGTGGCATCTTGGACATTTGACCTGTGTGTGTTTGTTTTAGGTGGTGAAGAATGAGCGCAACAAGTACATGCCGCTAGCTTGATCTGATATGTGTATTTCTTGAACTTTTTCGCCAGTCTGACAGAACATATCATCATATATTGACAGAAAGTTCAAGATCCATGTAGGCAGTCATTCAGGCATGTACATGCTGTGCAATCGACTGGGCAACTTTAAGGCCCAAAAGCCCTTTACAGGAAAAGGTAGCTGCGCTTTGCATGGTAGCGGAGCCCTGGCCGTAGCGAGCCGGGGCTCCGCCGCCCACGACACCACCACGAGCACGACGAAGAGCTTGAGCTCCACGACGGCACGGAGAAGGAGGACTATTCGATCCAGGGAAGGACCCTCATTTGCTTCGATTTGGATCCTCGAGCTTTTGATCCTAGCAGGTCTAGCAGGGGGCATTGGGACGTCAACGACCCAAGAGGTTCAGTACTACCAGAACAGCTCGGTGTTGCCCTTGACCTGCAAAAGCCGTGTTCGAAGGATCCATACGCTGGTGATCGAGACAGAAGAGCACATCAGCAAAGTCAAGTGGATAAGGAGTGAAAGCAGTGTGCGTGCATCTATAGTGGTGGCACAAAGGGAAGACCAGTCAGAGCTAAAGGAAGTGGTCATTGTGGTGCCGACAAGGTGGAGGTTCGTGAAGAGGATTGAAGCCTTACGGGACAGTACAGGTGTGGACGAACTCAGTGAGCTAGTGTACAACTGGCAGCTCTGGGACATCCCTACGTACGCAGGATTGCAATTTGGTACACCAACACCCTTTGCCCCTGTGGAGACGAGGACATTCATCCCCAGGATCTACGGGTGGAAGAGCATGGCCGAAGAAAGCTTGAGACAGGTGGCAGCCGCATTGGAAAGGCTGGCAAGGACACAGAATGCCCAAGGATGGGCACGTCACTTGAAGGCCCCAGATGTCTTCAAACCAGAAGGAAGAGAGGCCGAGTTGAGGCTATGGGGAGACTGGAAGTTTGGTTTCCTCAACTACGTGAAAGGATTGGACCCATCAATGGCAGCCAGTATGGACATGGTTGAGGAGAACATCGATGGGAACTACAAGTTCGATGACATGACCGACGAGACGAAGGCACGGGCCGTGAGGCTTTACAGCCTGCTGACTTCGTATGTGAGACAGAGGCCGCTGAAACTGATTCGCCATGTGAGAAGTGAGAATGGATTTGAGGCGTGGCAGTGTCTGCTGAAGGAGATGCAGCCGGCGACAAGAGCAAGGGCTCTAGCACTTTTGAGCCAGCTCTCCCGCATTCAGTTTGCGGAAGGAAAGACGGTTTCAGAACAGTTACCTCAATTTGAAGCATTGGTCATGGAGTACGAGCGCATCTCAACCCAAAGGTACTCAGATGACGCCAAGGTGGCATCGGTTCTGTTGGCCTGCCCTGTGCAAATCCGCCAGCATTTGCATCTATGGATCACGGATGCAACCACATACGAGCAGCTCAAGGATAGAATCATCCAGCTTGAGGCGGTGACGACAAAGTGGGACTCGACCAACTCATTGCTGTTCCCCACTAGAGCTTCTGGTGATGAGGCGATACCAATGGAGGTGGACTATGTCGGGAAGGTCGGCAAGGGCAAGAAAGGCCTGAAAGGAAAAGGAAAAGATTTCAAAGGAAAAGACAAAGGCAAAGAGAAAGGAAAGTATGGCAGCAAGGATGGCAGAGGCACAGGAAAAGGGAGTGATAAAGGAAAGAGCTTCTGGGAGAAAGGGCCCGGAAGGAAAGGCAAATCATCCGAGAAGAGTGGAAAAGGAGCGAAGAGTGGTGCCTGCCATGTTTGCGGAAAGGTTGGACATTTCGCCCGAGAGTGTTGGAAGCGGGTGAACCAAGTGGAGGAGCAACAGAATGCAGGAGGAGCAAGCTCATCGTCAACAGGTCAGACAGGTGGCGCTGGGGCGACAACAACGACAGCCTCAGTCAAGATGGTGAGACTACAAACACCGCCAGATGCTTCATCCCTCGAGGTATTTGACCTCACCACGCCCAGAGGAGAGAGTTCAGACAGCTTTCCATGGCGTGTGGGGATGATCGAAGTTGAAGTCTATGAGAAAGAGGAGTTCTATGAGACAGAGGAGCAGGAATACCACGACTGCTACGAACCGGCAGTGGAGGTACCTGGTGGGGTGGCTATAGTGGCCATGGACCTACAGGATGCAGAGGAGATGGCGGTGAACATGGTGAGGAAGCAAGAAGATGGTGCAGAAGGAAGCTGTCTGATCACTGTGGACAGCGGGGCGGACATTTCAGTGTTGCCCAAAGACTACGCAGGTGTTGGAGAGAGACAACAAACAGAAGGGCAGCTGAAGATGGTTGATGCTCAAGGAAAGAAGATCTCTCATAACGGGATCACGAGAGCAAAGGTCAGAATGGTCGACAGAAGAGGAAAGGTGGTTGAGATTTATGAGGACTTTGTGCTCGGAAGTGTGCAGCATCCCATTCTGTGCGCTGGAAAGCTATTGAAGAGAGGATGGTCGCTGGGCGAGGTTGAAGGCAGCTTGCATCTTCGACATGAAGGGCGCTCAGTGGACATCCCATTGAATACAGAGAGAAATTCACTGCAATGTGAGGCGAGAATCTTTGCGGTGGAGATGAGTGAAGGACAAGTTCATCAACAGGAGAAGGGCAAAGAGGAAGCGGCGCGGATCCAAGTGCTGCATGGCTATTTGAGCAAGTATGTGCAGGAATTGGAGATGACCCCGGGGTGGCATAGATTGCCAAATGGCGTGGCGGTCTATAGCGACCCAGTTGCAACTCAGTTGGTTGACCCGTCTGGCAGCATTGAAAAGATCTACAAATCAAGGCTCACCCTGGTCAAAGGCAAGGACGGACTTTGGGAGCAGTTAGAGAAGACGGGTGACATCAACCAGCTGGGTCCAAAGGCCTTTCGAAAGATCAGCCTCGCCACGGAACCCCAACGGACGCTGAGCTTCTTTGCACCAGAGCAATTCAAGGACTACTGGGAAGCGGGCAGTGAAGTCCCAGTGGCTCCATACCCACTGACAGACGGATCCTTTGGTCATGTGGAATGGTCAGAGGATGAAGGAGAAGAGTTGGAGGAGCTGGAAGCTGAAGAGATGCACCATGACATCGAGAAGACGGTGGTGGCAGAGAGACAGCGCGAAGTGGAGATGGACGAAGTTGTCTATTCAGAGAAGATGACAGTGAAGGAGCTCCAGATGGCATGCAAGGAGAGGCAATTGGCCTACACAGGAAGCAAAAGGAAGCTGCTGGAACGATTGGTGGCTTTCAAAGTCAACTTGGAGAACCAAATGCATCTTGCAGTGGCCAGCAAGCTCTACAACGAACGAAGGCGAAGGCCCGTGACGTTGGGTCAGCCAAAGTTGCCAAGCCTAGCGGAACAGGAGCTGCGCAACGTAACTCACTGGCCATTCGCATCGTGGTGTCAGGCGTGCGTGGCAAGTCGATCAAAGGAAGATAAGCATGAGAGGACAGAGAAGAAGGAAGACATTGGGAAGAACATCATCCAGATCGACTTTTGCTACACGTACACGGGCGAAGAGGACAGGTCAGAGAAGCCAATGCAGGACAAGGTCATGGAGAGGCAGGATCAACATGGCACTGTGCTGGTGATGACTAGCTCAGAGACAAAGGCGATCCATGCAGTGCCTGTACCAAGCAAAGGGACAGCAAGCCTCAAGACCATCACTGAAGAGATTGTCCGGTTTGCCTTGGAGAACTCAGCCCGAGATGCCTGCATCATACAAGCAGACAGTGAAAGAGCCACCAGACAGATCCTCAGATCAGTCCAGCAAGTCAGGAATGTGCTGGGCATGAAGACAGAAATCAGGTTGACAGGAGCAGGACAACATGCCTCAAACGGACAAGCTGAGCGAGCGGTGCAAACCATCCGGAAGATGGCAAATTGCCTTCGCTGGTTTGCAGAAGACAGGGCACGCATCAACATCGAAGGAGATTTCGACATCTACCCATGGTCGTTCAAGCATGCCTCGTTCCTGATCAACAGATTTCGAGTACTTGAAGGTATCAACAGGACGAGCTTTGAATTGGCCACGGGACATCCCTATCGTGGAAAGCTGGCCCTGTTCGGAGAAAGTGTGCTGTTCAAGAGGCCGGTCAGGAACAAAGGCAGTGCAGTGTTTGAGAAAGGAGTCTGGGTGACGAAACACCCGTGGAACGATAACCACGTGCTGCTGACCACGACAGGAGCCTATGAATCCAGAACGATCAGAAGACTGGCACCTGAAGACAGCTTCAATGGCCCAGAGGTGTTCACAGCAAAGGGCCTACCTTGGTGCTATTCGGCACAGGGTATTCTGATGAAGCACGCAGGAAAGGCTCAAAGGTACCGGCAACCCACACTTGAGATGGAGGTGAATGAGGAGGAGATGAAAGTCATAGCCCAAGATGTGGCGACTGGGGTGGTCGCACCAGCCCCAGGGAGTCAACCAATGACTCCAGGAATCACACTGACTATGTTGGGGCCAGCAGCAAAGGAAGCACCGCAGACACCTACAAAGCCAGCTATGAAGAGGCAGTTGACTGAGGAGGAGAAGAGTGAAAGTGAACGCGAGAGTAAGAAGGTGGGTACGACAGACTCCCCTAGAAGAAATGCAGCAAAGAGGCAAGGAGAAGAGGCTGCAGAAGGAGAAGAGAAGAGAGGAAGAATTGAAGCAGGTCCCCAAGCAGAAGGCAGTGAAGTGAGAAGGGAACTTGAAGGATCACCAAGAATGGCACCGGCGCACGACACAGGGCGTCTGTACCCTCCGCACTACGCAGGAATTGATGCCATCGGGTTGGAACCTCATGGAGATGAAGAGGTGGACATGGAACTCATGCCTGACGAATTGATAGAAGAACAGCTTATGGGATATGGAGGAGATGAAGGAGATGATCCACCTGAAGTAAGCGAAGAGGAGTTGGGACAACTTGACAAGGAGGCGTGCAATGTGGAGATTCAGAGGATGCTGGAGATGCCCGCCATGAAAGAAGTCCAACAAGAGGAGGTTCAGCAAAATGAAGGGTACATCATCAGCACCAAGATGGTAATGTGCTGGAAACATCGCCTGGAGAGAGGAGGTTGGTTCCGCAGGGCACGGCTGGTGGCCAGGCAGTTCAAGAATAGCATTGATCTTGATGCTACATTTGCCCCAACTTCTATGATGATGTTGCCAAAGATGCTGATCCACTACCTGTTGAACGTGAGGAGTGAGTTTGTAGTGGTCACTTTGGACATCAAGGACGCTTTCCTGATGGCGGCACAACCGGCAAATGAAAGAGCTTACATCCAGATTGAGGAGCGCATCTACCAGTTGTTGAGATGCCTCCCGGGGCAGAGAACAGCCGCATCACAGTGGTTCGGCCTATTTGCATCGGCATGCAGGGAGTTTGGCATGGAGCAGGACCTGATGCAACCCACGTTGATGATGATGGACAGCCTCCTGTACCTCACAGTACACGTGGATGACGTGTTTATGGTGGGAAGAGAAGACAAAGTGAGGGAGCTGATCCAATACTTCAAGGAGGAGAAACAGTGGAATGTCGAAGAGAAAGGCCCATTTCGACAAGGCGACAAGTTCTTCTACCTGAAGCGGCAATTCAACTTGGGCAGGAAGCACTGCGACATCCGATGTGATAGGAAGCAGTATGACAGCTTCGAGAAGGAAGTTGACGTGTACTCCAGGTTCTACAGAAAGACCCCTCTGGATGCCAACTTTGCGAAGAAGGACGACTCCGAAGTCCTAGAGGGAGCAGAGATTACAAAGTATAGGAGCATTGTGGGACGCCTGATGTACATGGCTGGAGAACGCCCTGATGCGCAATATGCCATCCAATGCCTCGCACGCCACATGGCGAAGCCCACAAGAAATGCTTTGAAGAATGCTTGGCATACCTGCTCATACCTCTTCGGAACAAGTGGGTACGGAGTGAGGATGGAAGAAAGGAAGAAGGGGCAATCCATGATGGATTTCAGAGAGATTGAGGAGGTGGAAGATGGAGAAAGACATTTGGTGGAAGTCATCACAGATTCAGACCATGCTGGAAACAAGAACGACAGGAAATCAACGACTTCCATGCAGGTCTTCATCGATGGCAATCTCATCGAAAGCAAGGTCAGGAGTCAGAAAGCCATCGCGCTGTCGTCAGGAGAAAGCGAGTTCATGGCGCTGGTGGCAGGGTGCTCCGAAGGAATGCTGGTGAGACACCTGTGGAACAAGATCACAGGAGAAGAGTGCCAGATGAAAGCGAGGTCAGACAGTTCGGCCGCCAGAGGAATGACCCAGAGACAGGGCATAGGAAGAGTCCGACACCTGGATGCATCCATGCTGTGGATACAGCAAAAGGAGAGAGAGAAGACTCTGAGTGTAGCAGCGATCCCAACAGACCTCAACAGTGCAGACATCGGGACAAAGAATTTGCCAAAGAAGAGGTTGAGGGGTTTGCAATACATGCTGCAAATGGTGGATGCGGTAGGTGACAGAGTGGGCGAGCAGGAGTTCCGGGAGATCGAGGAGCAGCACAAGCTGAAACAGGGGATGAAGAAGTTTGGGAAAGCCAAGGACTTGAGGATTGGCTTGTTGATGCTGCTAGCTACGATCAACAAGGTCGGAAGCACCTCGACAGAAGTGAAAGAGCCTGAGGAGACAAGTTGGGTATGGATGATGCTATGCTCACTAGCTTGCATCGGGGCCTTGAGCTTGATCAAGTGGACCACGGGCTACGTCAGGAAGATTGTGGAGAGCAAGATTGCCTACATCTGGGAGACCATGAAACTCATGGAATGGTTCAAGAGCATTGACTTGAGCCTGAAGGTGCAGAGGGTCGACCAGGAGACCCAAGTATCAGTGCCCAACGCTCATCTTGAGCGAGAGCTCGAAGAGGCAGCAAATCAGCTGTTTCTGAAGGAAGGTTACATAGAAGAACTCGAGCAGGACATGAACATGATGAAGGAAAAGCTGAAAGATTTCCTGCTGGAGCGTGAGATTGCTGAGAAGTACAGTCAGAAGCTCGAACGGAGACTTCACAATCTCAGCATGACCCCCAGCGGAAGAGTTCTTCATTTCAGTTTGGAGTGTCCGCATTTTGCGACAGCACGTCCAATACGACTGTGCAGTGCATGCCTGAACGAAGGAGGAGTGACAGAAAGTTCAAGATCCATGTAGGCAGTCATTCAGGCATGTACATGCTGTGCAATCGACTGGGCAACTTTAAGGCCCAAAAGCCCTTTACAGGAAAAGGTAGCTGCGCTTTGCATTATATATATCTATCATTCAGTCAGCCATTATTCACACCGCTTCGGGGTCGAAGCCGCCCGCATGGATACTTGTGCTCTCTGAGCCGGGAAGCGGCAGGTGCAAAAGCAGCAGCAGCAACAGCACAAAAAGAGCAGCAGCTAGCAGCAGCAGACCACCAAGCAGCAGCAGCAGTAGAAAACCCAGCAACCAGCAGCAAAGCAGCTGTTGGTTTGGTGTAAACCGTGGTTGATGTAAGCCGTGCCTGGTTGGTGCAAGCCTTTGTTTGGTGTAAATGGCGGTTGGTGCAAACCGTGGCTTAGTGTAAAGGGCATGCCTGGTTTGGTGTAAGCGGCGGTTGGTGCAAACGATGGTTGGTGTAAAGTGTGGTTTTGTGTATACGGTGCAAGCCGTTCGGTAAGGCCACACATCTGCACACACACAGTCTCCTCGGGCAGCATGACTGAACACGATGTCAAAAATGCACTGTCCGTCAGCATAACAGACATCACCAATGACGCCCGGCTTCTTGTCAAGTTTTTTCAAACCTCAAAAGCACAGCATTCTAGAGCAAAAATGCACTCCCCTCCCAAGGTTAAGCTTCAGCTATGCCAGCTATGCTATCTAGCAACTCCAGCGTGAGTATGCGAGCCGACACAATGCCTCAGCACCTTTGGTGCGGACGGACTTTCAGTCTGCTCAGACGGGTCGTCTCGGACGTCTGACTTGTTTGGGTTCGACTGCTTCTTCTAGCGACGCAGGGCAGCACTGCGCACTGCCGAGGACCCACATTCAGAAGTCCGATCAGCAGCTCTCCGAAATGAAGGCTGGGTGCCCGGACGGAAAGAAGAGACGGGACCGGCTGGCATGCAGCATCGTCACTGCAAAAGTAGGCTAAAGTGAAGCATGACAAACTCAGAGATTGTTCAGATGGCTCTCTTATCCTCTGGTTTCCCAGGAGAAGTTCAAGATCCTGTCCAATGAAGTGGAGATTTTGCGAATGGAGAGTGCCGTCAAGGAGATGGTGACCGGATTTTTCACAAGTGGCTGACGCATGCGGTTCAAGAGTTTCATCGAGTAGAGACAAACTGGAGAAAGTCCGTAGACATTCTTGATACATTTGTGACAATTCTACATACCTGAAAAGTACGGGGCGAGAAGGGGATCCCAAATGGATGTGGTTCCAGCAGGACAAAGAGCTTGCGCAGATCAGACAAGAGGATTGCTCGGCTTGTTTGATCAGGTGGAAAGCAGGGAAACTGGTTCATTGCTATTAAGTTGGAGGCCATTGCTATTAGGTTGGAGGTCATTGCTTCTAGGTTGGAGGCCATCGCTATTGGGTTGGGCTCTTTGCCTGTTGGACTCCTGGCAAACACAATTAGTTCCTCCAGAATCCTCCAGATCTTCATTCTTAGGCATTTCGATCCCTTTTGATCATGTTTCTTGGAGTCTCCATACTGTATCTCTTATAGATCCACATCATCCAATCCTTCCAGGGGTCTTGGTCGGTCCTGCGGTTTCGCCAGGCGCAACGACTTGAAGTGATCCATGTCCTTTGGCTCAGATCTGTGTGAAAAAAACTGGGGGAGGTTGGAGAAGTCGAGGTGCTGAACACATCCCCTTTTGCTATTAGGGTGGAGGCCATCGCTACTAGGCTGGAGGCCATCGCTTTTTGGAGCAAGACGGGTGCACCTGCATGGTCGAATTCGACTGCAATGCTTGATTCAAGTCTCTTTTGCTACAGCTTCCTTCGATCCATACACGGATGTGGCAAGTTGGGACTTGGTGCGGGAAAGCTTTGGCTGTTGCCGAGGATCAGCTTCAAAATGAGAAGACTCGGATAAGTGGGAAAGGTACTGCGCTCAACGAACAGGCCAGAAGCCTGGGCTTTTCGGAGCTTGCGATGATTTGTTGGAGAGTTAGAGGACTCGAAGGACTCAGAGGACCCGTGGCTTTGGATTTTGCTTTAGGTTGGAGGCCATCGCTATTAGATTATGTGCCATGAAATTAAGATCTTTGCATCTCTTTTGCATGCAAACATTGTAAAACATGCTCCTTGTATAATGCTCCAAAACATCCAACTTGAACAGCCAACCGCTTGTGAACATCCGTAGGTTGAGCAGTTTGTCATCGAGATAGACAAGCTCAACTCGATCATCACTTCCATCGAGAAAGAAATGGTCAGCCAATCGATTTAGAGTCTAGAGATACACTGCACGCCTGAGTGTTTGATCGGCCAGGTGCAGCTGAGACTAAAGTACGAGCAGGCTGCCCCGTGAGCGTCAACACATTTTTAGTGGATTGTTCCTGAGAGGCTTTTTGCCTTCTCTTCACTAGTAGGTTGGAGGCCATCGCTTCTAGGTTCAAGCCCATCCCGATGGCCTTCAAAACGGTTTCTTCGACGAAGGCAGTCGAGACGCGGAACTTCACTGGGACGCAGCTTATCGATAGGCCCAGCCAGCACCAGCTTTGGTTCTTCTCGCATGTTTGCCCGCTTCCACTTGGAAGGAATGATGAGCTTTGCATCCTTTGGGAGAAGGCAAATATCCAGGTGCTTCGACAAAGTTCAGAGGTGTTCACAGTGGAGCAAAATCATTTGCCACGATCCATCATTTTGGATCTTGTGCAGGAAAAGCTGTTGAAGAAGGGAGAGGCGGGACTTAAATGCCAAGACAGGTTTTGACTCGGATGTGTCGTTGGCATCAGGATGCGATGCAGAGAAAGGAAGAGGAGATTCGATGCTTGAAGATAGACCTCGCAGAGGCCTCCAAGATTTCTGAAAAAATGTGGCACAAGCAGTAGGTGTAGCAGCTATAGCCCACTCAGCAGCAAGTCGTTGTAACCATGAGTTTCTCACATTGTTTTCCTCACGCAGGTGCATCGTCAGCTGAAGGTGGTGCGTCAAAAGATCCCAGAAGTCCAGCGCTTAGCGGCCTCCCAACCCCCGCAGAATCCGGGAAGTCTGGGCTGATTCCGCTTCGTTGAGCGGCGGACCTTGAAAATCGGAAGACATCGATTCTGAGCCTCTACTAGCTACTAGGAGCAAGGACGCTATTAGTAACAAGTGCATCGCTTCTAGTAACAAGTGCCTTACTAGTAGTAACAAGAAGCTACTAGGAGCAAAGGGCATCGCTACTAGGAGCAAGGACGCTACTACTAGGGGCTCCTGGCCTTACTACTAGTAGCAGGAAACATCGCTAGTAGGTTGGAGGCCATAGCTACTAGGGTGGAGGCCATCGCTAGTAGGGAGCCTTTCTTGGGACCTTAAGAAAAACCGCTTCCATGCAATCTTTTGCTCAAAAACCCTACACCCTACACCCTCCGTCGATACATCCGCAGTGATCTCCCACCTGGACCTTGCAGCAAACAGGTACAGCCGCTCGCAGATGATGTAGTAAACCTGCGGGAACAGGCGTGGAGGGAGACGGTGGAAAGGACTAAAAGGGGGCCCTTAAAGCCCTTAATGATCTTCTTTTCTAGTAGCGTCCTTGTTACTACTAGTAAGGCACTTGTTACTAGAAGCGATGCACTTGTTCCTAGTAGCTTCTTGTGACTAGTAGCTCTCCTTTTGGCGTTTTCAAGCTACACCTTGCTCTGCGCCACAGTCAGTCCCGCCACGGTGGCGGAAGGTCTCGAATGTGCGCAAGCATAGCGACGAGCTGTCCCGAGAGGTCGGGAGACTTTCGGCCCCATGACTTTCGCACATGGAATTCTTACTTTGTGTGTCTGCCATCGCTACTAGGTTGGAGGCCATTGCTTTTAGGTTGGAGGCCATCGCTACCAGGTTGGAGGCCATTGATAGGCCATTGCTATTAGCTTCCTTGTGCTTACGTGTCCCCTCATTGTGCTTCTTGCCCAAGCGGATGCTCCGAGCACTTCACTGACCTGCTTGCACCTTCGGCCAGCTCGAGAACCCCAAGAGCTCGCTGCGGAAATGGCGGCAGCTGGGAGGGGAGGACGCTTCACCCACCGAACCGATCTCGCTTTGGAGGCGCACTGGATCCCCAAAGGCCCCGTAGGTCTCCGTCAGAAAAGTCCGGAAATGCATCGAGGAGACGCTGAGAGGTGTTGGTGCTTCTGTCGTGAGGACTTGGATCAGGAGACGCTGAGAGTGAAGATCCAGGACCTTCAGGAGCCAGTGAGCGTAGGCGTAGTTCAACTACACTGACCATTGGAAGCAGCATGGTGTTCAGGTGGTTCTATGAACTCGAAGTTACTTTTCAAGGCTTCCGCAGCAAGATGAACCATCCAAGAAAGCTCCTTTAAGTCCGGTTGTGGCCAGCCTGAGAGCTTGGTCTTTCGTGTTAGCTAAGCGGACACGTTGGGAGAACGGACTTCGTGTGCGGTGTCTGCCAGGAGAGGCTCAACGACAAGAAGGAAGCGCTTCTCGAAAAGGAGCTCATCTTGGAAGAGGCCTCCAGAGAGACCTTGCTCAGAGCCTGCTCAAATCAACTGAAGACCACGTCGTCCCTCAAGATACTCCGTAACATTAGCTCTAAGAACATGCCAATCACTTTCCTCTATGACATGGATTTTGGACACTCATGTAATATAGAGATATATAGAGTACATAGTTTTTTGGACCCAATTTGAATGATTTTATAGAGATTACATCCCTAGCCCCCCCCATTGTACACCATTTCTCTAGAACATGCATGGAAGGACATCCAACGGTATCTCACAAGGATCCGCATCGCCGCGCGTGACGTCCGCGCCGTCCTTCGTTGCGGTGCAGGTCACGGCGCTTTCGGAGAAGCTCCGGAACCAGGCGTTGGATGGGCGTCAAGGCACCATGGACCTCTCGCAGAAGGTGGGAAGCCTGTGTCTTGCCAGAGAGATCAATGTTTTTTCCTCAGGCGAATTGAGAAATCTTTGGATACATCGTTTGTCATTCGGCTAGCCTGGGGGAGACACACACACTGCATAGTTGAAATTGGTAAAAGCAATGAAAAGGACGGAAGCACCTTTAACATGATTTAAAATTGAAAGGGAAGGAAGCCGCACTCGATGACGTTGTGTCCAACTTTGGCTCAAAGTGAAGCTTTGGGCCTCGTCCGCCTCGTCCGAGTCCCAGTTAGAAGCGCTTCGCACCCGGTCCTGCGGTTCCGAAGCGGTTCGCGTCGATGTTCGAAGGTCTCTCGTTTTGGGCTCAAGCCACTCAAGAACACGCGAGCATACGCGAGCGCGTGACTCGCGCTTCATGGATTGTGGCAGCATGACAGGAGAATTATACACGATCCCATTTTCGCACTACTGCGAGCTTGCCCGCTGGAGTCTTCAAGAAGCCAAGGTTTCTCGAACAGACCAATATTTAATTGAAACACGTTACATTTTTTTTTACATTACACCCCAAAGCGTGTGTGTGAGGTCTAGAGGTGTAGCAGCAGAAAGTTTAGAGATCTAGACGCATTGGGGTCCAGAGAGGTGATGGTGGTGATGAAGGTGGAGATCGTGGTGGCGAGTGAGTAAGTGAGTGAGAGAGTGAGTGAGAGAGAGAGAGAGAGTGAGAGTGAGCGTGAGCGGGTGTGAGCATTACCATAAGAACCCCTAGTGACCACAATGTTTGGGGAAAGATCGTTATTTTTTAAACGACATATGTTCATTCTGAAGAAGCATTCTGTCTTAAGCATTATTCCTTATGAGCCAAGGTCTCCTTCGTGGAGTACCCCTACCTGCCGGGCGTCCACACCTTCTTCGGCCCGATGGAGCGTATCCGAAAGCGCCGAAGCGGTGGTGAGAGCACCGGGAAAGGTCAGGGGACACCGCTGTACCTCACCAGTGATGGACAGATCTTGGATGATTCCTGGCAAATCCTATCGCTCACTGGACTCACTGGACTCCCCGTGTCGGAGGACATGAAAGCACTGCTCAACTATCAGATTGGGCCTCAAGTCCGAAGCATCGTTTATGCGGATCTTCTGCGTCCCGAGAAGGTGGGGTGAGGTTTCCTCGAACATATTGGAATGCAGTAGTCCGACTTTCATGCGAGTTTCTCCACTATATCCGACTTTCTCCTCACCAACAGACCCAGACAACGCTGTTTTCGCCCCTGGAACCTTCAAAAAATTGTTCCATTCTGTTCTTCCTGTAAGGACACGATCCAAAAACATGTCAAAAAGAAGTAAAGCCCTCTTGTTGGGGATGCCTTTCCTTTCTGAAGAATGCGGACTTTGCCGCGATGGGCCAGGGCTGCCCGGTCTCCTGGTGGCAGCGGGGGCTCTGGAGTCTCGGCGGCTTCCGCCGGAAGGTTTCGTCGGTGATGAAGCAACAGATGGTGGGGGATGAGGAGCGACAGGCTAAGACCTTGAAGGATTTCGAGGAGGCCATCGAGAAGGTGTCTTGACCATTCGGAAAAGAAGTGCAGCGCTGAGGGGGTTTGCACTTTTCCAAGACCATTGTGGATGATTTGGATGTTTATTGGTTTTCTTGTTGAGTCCTGCCACCCAGACAGAGATGGATGGATGGATGGATAGATCGATAGATAGATAGATAGATTCTGTACAATGTTGTGTCCCTAGAATGTTGCCGAGGTGGAAGCAGAGCTCTCCAAGCCAGATGGTTGTTTCCAAGGAGCTCCCAATGAACTCACTGCTTCAGCCCTGGCTTTGGCCGCCCTCTTCGCGCCAGCGGTGTGCCCGGCGGAGTACACCGGTGGTTTCGTGCCGGAGATCAAACCAGAGACCTTCTCGGAGGCGCACCAGGAGCGGATCCGCCAGTGGCGACAACGGCCCATTGGGCAGTTTACCCTGGAGCTCTATCGCCGGCATCGGATGCGCTGTGTCTCGCGCTCATGATGCGGATGGGCCGGGTTCTACAATGGCCTGGCGTTGGACATTGTAGCTCTTGCACCTTGTTAGTAGTAAGGCACCTTGCTACTAGTAGCTTTAAGAGGGGATGTGAACGTGGGTTGAACGTTTAAGTTGAACCCGAATCCCGATTCAAGCAGAAGGTTTTCGGGGCCTAGTTGACGCAAAGGGCGATCAAGGTGCTCCCCCTGCTCTCAGAAGTGTGGAAAAGTTGGTGCTGGGGCCCGGGAAGGACCCCAGACAGGACCGGGGCCGCACTTGCATGGAGCGTATGTGCTTTTATACCTTTCTTACCGGTTTCCTTTTTTCAAACATGACAACATGGGTTTTGACTGAGTTGAAGTCAGTAGCTTGGGTCCTGTTTGGGCAAACCTCATGTTCAGATGGAGCCTAACTTGTAACTCGATTCGAGGTCTGGCGATGGCAACGGAGAACCAGGGCCGTCTCTCAGTTTTGCATTTTGCTTGTGTGTTTCTTTGCAGAGTTGTAATCTCCTTCAAGAAGAAGATTTTGTCTCATTGTCGAACATTATTCATAGATAGGACAGGGACAATGTGAAGTCATTGCGTTTCCATCACCAAATTTCCACATGTCATTGAAATGACCAGCTTTGGGACCCCAGCTGGCCCAAGCTCAAAGGCCAAGAGCAGTCTCTCGGAGAGGAACTCCGAAGGCTCTTAGAGGAGGCGCACTTGGTGAGAGCTTCCTCCAACCCTGTTAGCAAAAGGAACCTGATAGCGATGGCCCTACCTACTAGTCGCGTTCTTGCTACTAGTAGCGATGCCCTTGTTACTAATAGCGACGGCCTCTAACCGAATAGCGATGGCCCGATGACCAGCCCGATGACTTCACGAAAGGTTTTCTATCATTGATCCATCCATGATCATCCGATCTTTTGTAGATCATGAAATGGGATCCGATATGAAGCGTTTTTTCCTTTGTTTTTAGATGTAATCAATCAAGATTTGTAGATTTTTCTGATTTCATAAGGTGCAAGTTGAAGAACGAGGCCCAAACCCCTTTCTTCTTTTTTCCGAAGTAGAGAACCATCCGCAGGGGTTCGGTGAGTAGCGTTGCAGGCGGATGCCCAATGGACGCTCTTGGAGCACCGCCTTGACCAGGTTTCGTCCATTCCACAAATCAAATTGTGATGGCCATCGCTAGTAGGTTGGAGGACAAATAGTTTTTTAAACATACAATCAATTGTTGTGTTTGTTTATTTTTGTTCCAATTTTCCAATCAGTCGATTTGCACAGGCCTTGGATTTTTTGGCTTGAGCAACTGGAACACAACCGATGAAGTTTTGCCAGTGTGACTACTATCCTTAGCTTCTTAGCTCACTGTTTACATGTTTGAGTGCGAGGGCGACTTTGAAAGGCCTTTTGTATGGCTTTTTTCACTGCTTTCACCAATGCACTTGTCAGGTGCAAGAAGAAACACTTCAGCAATACGCTGAGGAGACGCATGACATTCACTTCACGTAAATGCATTCTTAGTGGGTTTGACTACATGCATGTCACTTCAAGTCATCATGGTACGTGATTGAAAGTTCGTACGTCCGGGTTCCATTGAATCACATGTACATTGACATTCTTTGCATTGAACATGATTCTTGGAGGATCTTCAGCAAAGATATGGCTTGGCTCTCAGCCGTGGAGCTGCGCATGCAACAAAAGCGTTGGAGATGAACCATTTGAACATCCATTCTGAGGCTAATGAAAAAATAGGACAAATACCTAATGAATTTGCTGAATCTGTTACTGCTGAATCTGCTGAACATGGAGTGATTTAAAAGCAACTTTTGGCGTTGCTTCTAGGTTGGAGGAGGTCATTGCTAGTAGTATCAAGGGCATCGCTACTAGTAGCTCCTGGCATTACTACCAGTAGCAAGAAGCTACTAGAAGCAAGGACGCTACCAGGGGCTCCTGGCCACTAGGGGCTCCTGGCATCGCTACGAACGGAGCAAGGACGCTTCTCGGTTGGAAGCCATCGCTCCTCGCTTCGCTTCGCTTCGCTTCGCCGGTCGGACGTTCCGAGGTCTTCGGCCCGAAGATCTGAACAGCTCCGGCCCGGGTGGCTTTGCTTGGAAGGCGGGTGGCCGGGTGGGTTTCAACACGTTGCCGGGTGGGTTTGAACCATGTGCTTGAGAGGAAGGCAAGAAGGGGTGCATCCGTCATTGTAGTAGGAGAGTAGTTAGGTCGATTCGTCACTTTTCTAGCTTCAGTTTGAGGACTCCAAAGAACCCTCCGTCGCACAGCAACCAAACATTGAAACTCAACATGCCCTTGAGGTTCCTTGCTCAGTTGCAGGTTTGTTTCGCTGTTTTCAACGACCGTTTGCCATGTACTGCCATGTTTGGAGGTCAAAGGCCGTTTGTCGGGGCCTAAAGAGTCAAGAGTCAAGAGCAGTCGAGGACGTACACATTTCAGTTGTTGCCAGTTGTTTTGTCTCTCGGCTCTTGGTGCAGCGAAACACGTGCCAGACTTGAGCGTATTTGCATGTGTCATGCAACACCTTGACTTGGCCGGCCTCGTTGCTCCTTTTGGCTTGTTGTCTTATAGTTAGTAGCTTTCTTCAGCCATGATGCGCTCGGCCCTGAGAGTCTATCAAAGCTTACAGAGGCATGAGTGAGATTGGAATGAACTTAAACTTCTCCTCATGGTGTTCATTCCAATCTCACTAGCGATGGCCTGCAACCTACTTAATTAACAGCTAAATCAGCAGCTTTCCTTTGTTTCACTTGTCAAGTTGTCTAGGTTGGAGGCCATCGCTAGTAGGTTGGCTTTACCAAATCTCTAAACTTGAGATCACTTGAGATTGGCGTCACACTGCGTCACACATCTCTAGGCTGCACCCTTTTGGCTCTTCTCACCCTTCCGGGTGCATTGGCCGGGACCAATGAGGCGGTTTTGGTGTCTGTCAATAACCTTTTCTTCCTTTCCTTTCCTCATTCTTTCTTTTTTCTTTTGTCTTTTTTCTTTCTTTAGACCTTTTTCCAATTTTCCTATTTGTCCTCTTTTGCTCACGTCTTCGCCAAGAAATCACGTCAGGTGGGCAAGAAGTTCCTGGAAGAGAACGCAAAGAGACCAGGCCGGAGGAGAATGTGAGTACCACGCACTGGCTGCCTGAATGCCTGGTTCCACTTGAGGCGCTTAGTGAAGACATGCCTTACAAGTAGTCTTACAAGTCCTTAGGATCCCACCAACAGACCCGTAGGCTGTTGCTTGTTGCTTGTTGCTTTCTTTTTTGTAATTCTGACGGTTCTCAGAGACGAAGAATCAATAGAATCTTGAGCAAATGCATTTGCAAGGTGTGATCACCTTGCCATCGGGGTTGCAGTACAAGGTGCTCCGCGACGGACATGGCTTCTCAGCGCTAACCCTTTTCATTCGCGCGCAGGGCGCGCGGGCACCGCGCAGTTTCAAAGCGTTGCAGGGCTCAGCTACTAGGAGCAAGGACGCTACTAGTAACAAGTGCATCGCTTCTAGTAACAAGTGCCTTACTAGTAGTAACAAGGACGCTACGAACGGAGCATGTCGGGCATCTCTACGAAGACGGATCGATCGGACGCGACTCGAACGGGGCCGCTCCTACCGGGTTCCCCCGAGGCACTTCCGCGGTCTGTTTCACCGCTTGGCCCGTCGGTCGCCCATTTTTTGGATGACATGAAGGATGCAAGATCTCAAACTGAGGACATATTTAACACAGAAAAGTGGAACAACAAAGCTGAACGAGGATAAGCTTGCACACGCTTTGGAAGACTAATTGTTATGTTTATGTTCATTTCATTGTCCATCAATGTTGGTTTCAGGTTCTTATTCAAAAAATAGGTGTTTGAGGGCATGTTGTGTGTTTTTTTTTGTGAATTTGGGGCATGGCAAAGTGATTTCCAACTTTGCGAGCTGGCCTGGCAAGTAGGCCACAAACACTTTTGAGAGGTTTTCTCCGACTGAACTGGCTAATTCAGACGCTACTAGTAACAAGATGTAACAAGTGCATCGCTAGTAACAAGAAGCTACTAGCTTGTCTCTACTCAAACCGTTGCTTGAGGTGACCAGAGTCCATTGGCTGGAACGCCCTGTGAGTGCCACTATGCTGGAACTACAAGCCTCACTCCGGACGTAGTGGACAAGGTTCAGTTCTTAGAGATGAAGAGTTGTATTTTTGATTGATAGTAGTAGTAAGGCACTTGTTCCTAGTAGGGATGCACTTGTTCCTAGCAGCTTCTTGTTACTAGTAGTAAGGCACTTGTTACTAGAAGCGATGCACTTGTTCCTAGTAGCTTCTTGTTACTAGTAGTAAGGCACTTGTTACTAGAAGCAATGCACTTGTTCCTAGTAGCAATAGTACGTATGCAAATACCTATTAGTGATGGCCTCCACCCTATATTGGTCAGAAATTCTGAAAGGAAACAATCGAGACCAGGCACTTCTGATCTTGGGTTCATTTTGGCACTTCTTGTGGAGTCGTTCTCAGGAGGAGGAAAGCCAGTGGGATGAGTTTGACTCGTCTTACAAGCGTGGCAGCCCGACAACCTTCGCACCCAATCAGGCCGATTTTGCCGGTGTTGCTTCTTTCTCCAAATCCACCAGCAACACGAACGCATTAATCCGAATCCTTTACCCTTTGTAGTTCACCCCTACTAGCCAGAATGCTAACAAGATCACTGGACTGTTTTGCAAGACATTCTTCACAAACTTCTCCCTCCCACTTGTACGGTTGGGACGGATGTTGGAGTACCCGCATAATATCCCATCTACTTGGAAAGGATGCATGGACTTGTGGTCTCAGCTGGCTTTGCTTGATCAGCATCTTTTTCGGTGTAGGAAGATCGCCAGGTCATCAAAGGGTGGACTGAAGCCATGCAACTCATGGTGGAAGGCGGCCGGTTGGGGGACTCTACCTGGGTGTGTTGATCCCGTGCTGTTCCACGATGTGTTGAAGTTGCTCTCAAGTCCAGCGACCAGACCTGCTTCATACCCGAAATCACTGTTTTCCTTCGTGGTTCTGCTTGGAAGCAGAGTAGCTCTGTTTAGAATTGGAAGCGTCCTCTTGGAGGTGACAAGTGGCAGATGTACATTCCTTCAGAGCTGGGATATGGAGATTCTGGCACTGGCGTAGCCTGGCTTTGCTCTTGAGTTGAGTAGACTAGACACGACGTGTCATCACTGTGGGGATGTTGCAGATGTGTCTCTTGAGGCCAAAATTAAGGGTGGAGACGTGCTGGTCTTCAACATGGAGAAGCTCAGACGCACATTCTTTGAAGCTGAGAGCGTTGCCTCATCTACCTGAACTAGTACTGCAGATCAGATCAGAGAGCTCTTTGTTTCTTCTTTGGACCTGTAGACCTTCATTTGTGTTGATTCCTTTGACCTTTAATCGAAATAGCTGAGGATCATGAAAATCAAGGGCGACACCAAGCCTGCGGAACGATGCGACGTTGAGACTCTGAAGGGCCACGGACCGAGAGAGGAAAGGTTTTGACGCACTGACCGTATGTGCGACGTGTGACGGCTGACCGTATGCGAAACCGCTAGCGACGGCACTTGAAAAATACAACGCACTTGTTACTACTAGCTTCTTGATACTACTAGTAAGGCACTTGTT